AGTTTCATGTATTTTTTTCCTTTTTTCTTTTTTTTTTTTTCTTCAATACGCTTAATGTTCAATTAGTCATTTGTTGTACATAAATGACAAGATATGTAAAGTTTCAAATATTTAAAAAAATAATAGATTAATCTGATATTTTTCATTATTACTATACTTATTATTCACCTTTCTTCATGTATAATCATTAGCGCTGAACATCAAGAGGAATTAAAATCATTGCACTTTTGATATTAATAAAGCTATACAACGATATTGTTTTCCAAGTAAAATATGACGTGTATTCTGACGCATGGCATTTCAAAATTTTATACTTTGTTTCAAACTTATATAAATTTGTAACTTTTTCATTTTATTATCGATTGTAAAAATTTATCCATAGAAAATAGATGTCTTAGCTAATGGTACTTGAAATTTATAAAAATGTTTGAACGAGAATAATAAAGGCAAGAAAAAAAACCAGGAACAGTACACACGGGATATGCCTAACGGGGATGCCGTCTATTAACCAAGCGATACATCGTTGGAAGCGAGGAGCTGAGTTTAAGGGTCATTCAAGCTGATTAATTTTTTTCGCGTAACTACATCGTAGCTTTAGTTATTATGTAAAACCTATAATGTATGTGTTATCGTGTGTTCGTTGTCTGAGCGTGGAAAAATCATCGTGTTCACGCGCACATTGAAAAAACGCTACGAAAATTGCTCAAGCTTTCACATCAAGACTCTTTTGTTCATGAGAAATTCACTTTTATGTTCCATCTTGACTCAGTTTCCAAGTTTAAACACATGTATACAATCACACGCGAGCTGTACTTTTTGTTTAACGAGCAAGAGTGTTTTTTGTTTTTGTTTTATATTACGAGGTGCAAAATAAATATGTTTTACAAGGATGGTTTTTCTATCCAAAAGTTCCTAAAGCGTTTTACCAAGGGCAAATCGTACATTTGTGCTCAATGCAAATTGTGTAAAAAAGGAACTTTCTGTCGATTTTACTTTTTGATTATCGATTTAATTCAACTTGAGGAATTTTTTCACCAATAAATAAAAAAGATATGATCATCTAAATTTTTAAGAAAATTTTATTTTTTTCATATACGACCTCACTCTCTTTCTAATAGGTATATTTTAATTTCATTATTCGTTTTATGAAAATTGGAATTACAAATCACGAAATGTACAATTACTTTTTTTACCTTCTCATGTAAACCTGAATAAGCGAAACTTACCTCAAATAACTGAATGTCACCAAATTCAAGTCACAAACAAGTCTGCAACTAAGTATAAAAAAGTGGTAGACCTGTGGCTTGTTCTACGTTGATTTCACTTATTCAGATTTAAAAAGTTCAGAAAAACGAGGATTAATCCTTAATGAACAACAAACAACTCCCTCCTCTGCTATCACACATACCAACACGCAAACATCTATGAAATGTACTTATATACTGCGATAACTTTAGGTCTAACACCTTAAAAGCTATTTTATTTACACGTTCTTCGTACATACATAAGAAAAAATTTCTCTGTTTAAACAGATGATAAACTCAATAAGTATCCTAAGTACATCTTAAACTGTAAAATTGTAAAGCTATATGATAGTCATCATTATGATATAAGTCACAATGAAATCACACATAAATAAAAATTATCATTGTATGATAATAACGAGAACATGAGAATGTATGATGTAGAAAGAAAATAATGAATTACGGCGGAGACGTCGCAGGAACATAAAATAACAAGAAGGAAATAAAAAAAGGAAATAGTCAATTATCGTAATTAAAATAATAATGATGATGTGTGAAATTAACAGTTACGCGCGCTATTTAGTGCCTTTTATATATTTTACGGCTCCTCTCGCTTTAAATTTTGTTTTGTCACTCTACTTATCATTTCACGTATAATCATTATGTATACAGAATACCTCCATTATCCGTCGTCTTAATCTACATAATTGAAGTATTCTTAGTGCATGAGGGCACGAATTTAAATTCATTTTAATCTACGTTTAGCGCCACTCTGCTCTTATCTCGTCTCTCTCGCGCTTTTCTCGCTTATGTCGATTATTGATTTATTTTCATTTAACTGAATCTCGCAGTTTCAACGAGCTAATTTCTTTTTCTTTATGTTTTTTTTTTTTTTTACTTAATTAACTAAAAAATAATATCGCAATTGGAATGATTTTAGTCTCGTCGAGCCTCGATTTTCAAAAATTCATTGATGCAAGTGTGACCGGTGTATTTTTTTTTCTTTTTCTACTACGTAAAACGAAACTAGAAAAATATAAATAGAATATTATCATAAAAAATCGTATAGTTGTACGCATTGTTTTTTTTTCCTCGACTAGCCGGACACACGCGCTGAGGAATTCCGAGTGATGGTGAGGCCATCAGACGTTGTGATAACATGTAAGATCGTGGCATTGGCAAACGTCACAAAAAAAGCAAAAAATCGTCCACGCAGTTTTTACCCTATTTCTTTTTTGTAAAACAATCAATTTAATTTTACTAATCAAGACAAGAGCAATCCATCTGCCGAATCATCGAAAATTTTTTTAAATTAGTTAATTAGCTAGTATGACGATATGCAATAGCATATTTTATTACAGCTAATTATCTAATTTTTCTCTCGGAGAGATGCACGAATATTATTTATTTTATTCAATTTGTGCCGCAACAAACGCCATAAATTGCATTATCAAATTTCTCAAAAAATGTACACATATTATACCCTTTTTTTCTTTGCTAAACACATTCACATATATATCTGACAATCGACTTTTATAAAATCGATGCCCTAATAAATAATATTTATAATCGTAATAATAATCAATAACGATTAATAGTAATGATGAATTCGTAGATACAATCTTAATGAATAAAATGTACTCTTAAGCGTTTTGCAAGTATATACATACATAGAATTGGAGATATGTTTTGTTCATCTCCTTGTTTCACTAAAAAAATTTTTGCTTCTTCTCAATCTTATTACGCTTTTTTTCACAACAACCTCGAGTTTTGATGTAAGTACACGTGAGTATGATGAGCTTCGAAATTATCGTTATGTGTACTTTTATTCTTCACAAACGCAGCTTGGTCTTTCCTCTCTCACGGTATTGTACTACGCACTAATTCGAAATACTGCATCGTACGTAGGGTTTCTAAGTATCAACTATAGAATATTTTACGATGTTTTATTGTATATTTCATTATTTTTGTACGTAAAGTATAGTTGATGCATCAGAACGTCACACTCTCCTCGAGTTTCATGTATTTTTTTCCTTTTTTCTTTTTTTTTTTTTCTTCAATACGCTTAATGTTCAATTAGTCATTTGTTGTACATAAATGACAAGATATGTAAAGTTTCAAATATTTAAAAAAATAATAGATTAATCTGATATTTTTCATTATTACTATACTTATTATTCACCTTTCTTCATGTATAATCATTAGCGCTGAACATCAAGAGGAATTAAAATCATTGCACTTTTGATATTAATAAAGCTATACAACGATATTGTTTTCCAAGTAAAATATGACGTGTATTCTGACGCANCTCGCTTATGTCGATTATTGATTTATTTTCATTTAACTGAATCTCGCAGTTTCAACGAGCTAATTTCTTTTTCTTTATGTTTTTTTTTTTTTTTTTACACAGCAAGTACAGCTTACAACTCTAATTGTATTGTAACAAATATTGCCTCAAATATCAATTTTCTAACATCTCAATTTTCTTGCACGCGCTTGACTTTCATACTTATAATTTTTTTTTTTTTTTTCATTTAGCATTCACTCGCTTGATTATGTCTTGCGCGAGTACGCGCGATACAGTGGACAATTAATGCTACACGTTGCAAGTACGCTCGAGTGCTTTCTCCGCACGCCTCAACGGCGTTTACCTTTTTGCATTTTTTTTTTTTTAATTGATTTTCCCTCTCGTTTTGTATCAACACTTTCAACTTTTTATCTTCACAACCCTCAAAGCAATAGTCTTAGGCTTATGCATGGCCAAGTCAAGTTTCATAATATGGTTATTTGGTTCGCACATTGCTCTGAAAAACATGCTCATGCGAGTTCTAAAATTGTTCTGCTTCTCGTTAACACGCATTATTTTCCCGTTATTATTATTCCTTCTTTTTTATAAAAACATCGCCCGGGCCTTGAAAATACAGCCAAGGAACTTTGACTGATGAATTGTGTGTAGGTACATCTGAAAATTAACACCCACCGTGCCTCACCTGATTGCATTCAATATAACATTGTAGCGGTATCTACCATTAGAAAAGGTCGTTATATAATAATATATACCGTTCACAGCGAGACTATTGTATGGACGATGGCCTAAACTGTACGTGCTTGATGATATTGCATGGTCGTTGTCACCCTCGGAACGATATTTGGTCGTCATCGCAACCTGAACACTACAGCTCGTCCGTCGTTCGGTCGTCATTGTAGAGTGCGGGCGGTCGTCATGGGAATAAAATATCGTCGTACGGAGGACATTGATGTTTTCTTATTATTAATTGGTGGCAATAACATAATCACAATAATAATAAAAATAATTGGGTGGTTGTGGTAGTAGTTGGTTGATTTTTCAGATTGATTCGTTCGCCTCGTGGCTCGTCTGTTTATCAGTAGGGCCAGAAGGCCGGCAGGGGCGGAGGCGGTGGCGGGGGCGGCTGGTAATGAGCGGCGAGGGTGGGCGCAGCAATGAGAAGACAGCCCGGGGGCGGCGGGGGCAGGGCCTGGGGCGGCGCGGCCGCTGGATGAGGCGGCGGAGGCAGGACCGGGGACAGTGCGAGAGCTGCGGCTGCCGCGGCCGCTGCCGCCTGCTGCTGGGAGCCGCAAAGCACCGCCGCGGCCGCGGCTGCCTGTTGGGCTGGGCTTGGCCCAGTCCCCATCGACGCCGGGTGATGCAGACCAGCAAGACCCGCCAACCCCAGCTGGGCTGCTGCCCGCTGCTGTTGGCGCTGTTGCTGCTGCTGCTGCTGCTGCTGCTGCTGATGTTGTTGTTGGAGCTGCTGCTGCCGCTGCTGGGGTGATGGGGGTGGCGGCTGCTGGCGCTGCTGACGCTGCTGGCCCTGGGCCTCGCCGTTCTATTCCGAGTCCTGCTGCATTTTGACGTGGCCGTTGTTGGACAGCGTGCCGGCGGACGAGCTACCTCCGCTGCCGGGTGGGAAGTTGGTCGGTATGGTGCGCGACGACGAGAAGCACAACTTCATTATGTACGGGAACTTGCCGTCTGCAATGAAAATTTCCAAACAGTCGACATCAGGCTCCAGTCACTTGTAGATGCAAATTAATACGATAAAAGCCCCCCTCCCCCCACCCCCTTTGATTAATTCGATTCTTTTATACATTCAAGGAAATCAAAGTCCTGGCTATAAGGTTGTCGCAGGACGGAAGTAAAAAAGTCCAGCTCGGCTCATCTGTTAAACAAATGACTGTCCTTTATCAGTAAAGTCAATTGAATGAAATTAGCCTCGAGTGTGGCACTAAAGCAAACAGAAATATACGGAGAGAGGGAGAAAAGATTTTACCGATCGAGTGAAAATTGCACGAAATCCGTCTTGAAGGGAGGTATATAAATATACTCACTGCTGTTCTCGATGGCGGTGTGATTGCACTCCATAATGGCAGCTACGGCCGCGCCCACGCTGCCAAACTCGATCAAACCGGACGACGAGCGCTCCGACTTGAGCGGGAAGAGCTTGACGGTCGAGGGTGTTTCGACGCCCTGCTCGACGAACACGTGGTTGACCGTGTCCTCGGATAGATCTGGCGGCGTGTTGAAGAAGTGCACGATCTTCGAGGGTGGCTGTATTCGGTTCTTGTTGGCCATCGCTGGATTCAAAAACCTATACATGAAAAAACAAACACCCGTCATAAAGTGCCCCGCAAGCAAGTATGCGGTACATAATATTCATGGTAAAGTAAATGTTTGCCTGTTGTTTTTGCTGCCGGTAAAGTCCTTGAAGCTGGGCGTCTTGTCTGGCAAGAGGTACGGATTCGTGACGTCCGAGAGGAACGCCTGTTTGGAGAAGCCGAGCTGGAGCTTGGCTTCGTTGCCGATGGTGACGTTGTTGAGGTTCTGGAGGCACCTTTCGACGGCTATGCTGTCGCCCATCTGTATCATGGCGCAGCCCTCCTTGGTCTTGAGGAACTTGACCTTGCTGACGTTGCCGTAGAGGCAGAACAGGTTGAAGAGCTTGTCGCAGTTGAGCTTGTCCGGCTGGAGGCCGTAGACCATCATGACCGAGCCTTGGCTGCTCGTGGCTGGACTCTGGCCGAGAGCGGGCACGTAGCCGGGCCGGCCGGCGGGGGTCGGGTGCAGGGCCTCCCTTCCCGCAAACTCAGCTGCCGATTTGATCCCGTACCGCTCGACGTAGGGCTCGGCGTACGCCGCTGGCCCGTTAAAGCCCTCCTCGTATCTGTCATGGGCACCCGCTCCCGCTCCGAACTGCACTCCACCTGCTCCTGTCACCCCGGCACCTGTGTAGACACCCACACACACAAGCGCGCGCATACCCAACACACGGGCAAAGAATTTAGTTTAGTATAGGCATAAACACCAGACAGTGACAATCATTGATGATCACAGTAATAATAATAATAATAATAATAATAATAATAATAATAATAATAATAATAATAATAATAATAATAATAATAATAATAATAATAATAATAATAATAATAATCTTAATCGTAACAACAATCATAAATATACAATGAAACTCGTGTAACATTAATAGGAGGAGGCATAACGAGCGCGTCGGTGCTGCTCTCACAGTCCAGTACAGTACAGTGGATCTGTGACGAGGTCAGATATGATGTGTTTTTAGAAATGATGATGTTGTGAGTAATTGAATAAACAAGTAAGTGTATAGTTACTTGGCGAGGGGGGGGAGAGAGAGAAGTGGAAATGGGTTCGAGAGAGAGAGAGAGAGAAAGTGAGAGTAAGAAAGATGCATGGACGTGGATGCACAACACACACTTACCGTACGGCTGGGGCGCAGCACCGTAGCGCGGCTCGGCGAGCAGGGGTGCCGGCCTGCCGCTGGTCGAGTCGTTCTTGTGCGCGCTCACTCCTGCGACACAAAACAGAAAAGATTCGACTTTTCGTTGTTTATACGTTTTTTTATACAAATTTGGTGGTGCAAACAACACACACACATATATGCATACATATACGTAGATCAAATTCAAGATCCACACATTAATTATAATCCATTGCTATGAATTTGTATTTATTTCTGTATGTATGTATGTATGTATGTACATGCGTTGGAAAGTTCAATATATTTTGATTGCAGTCCGCGGTGTGATTGTGATGTATATCTGTTGCACGTTATACCATTGTTATGACACGTGGACGTGCCCAAAAAATGTATGAATGTTGTTGTTGCGTGTATAGTATCGCTTTTTAATGAAACGTAAAGATGCACCTCTCGTTATAATGTAATGTCTCCCCCATTGAAATGCTCCCCTCTCTGCTTTTGAAATATCATCCCCCTGATGTATAATAATGGCACAATGTGACCCGCACAGCATCCGGGTCTCGTCAAACGATCACGATTCGGATGAACACCAGAAGGAAAACAGGGGGGGAAGAGGAGGAAAAGGGAAACAACAGCATATGCTATCTCGTTCACCCCCACCGAGCATCCCCTGCCATCCCTCGTGCCTTGGTGGTATACAACACGCGTACTTAGTGGCGCGCGGTGCGGAATAATATTACATTAGTATATAACGTTACTCATACCCACCGAGTTGCTCGGCCTTTAAGTAACGTGTTGTACGTGTTTACGGAATCTTTTGAGCAAACGAACCCTGACCATTCGATGTACATGATAATATATTAAGAGTCGCTCCACGCGTATATACGTAAGTATGGGTGAGCGCTTACCCCGGTATACCTCGTTTTGATACATTTAACGTATGATGAAGTCTAAGGTGAATTACGGGCGGCCTTGCCGTTTCAAAGACGCTTGATGAGCGTTGGTATCGAATTTTTTACTTTTCGCATAATATATACTATTAATCCAAGTGTCTTATTTTAATACACCTAGAGCGTGTTAATCCGCTGTCACAGAAATTACGCGTTTCTTCTCGGGGGGGTTTTGCTCCAACATCTGGAAGTCACGGAAGTTGGCTGTACTCATAGAAAATCTAATTTCTTCGATGATACTGATACTACTGTTTCGAACATGTGTTTGTAATGTTTTGTATCGTAGAATAGGTCTTCATCAAACGAAACACACACAAAGTAATATTCCGAGGAAAAAGTGTGGTAATGGGTACCAAGAAAATGAGTATGACAATACAAATTATGTGTAAAAAAAAAAATCTGTCACTCACGGTAGGACAACACAAGAATGTTACGTCACTGAGTCACGACACAACGTTTAATGTCAATCCCAAAAAACGTTTATTTATTTGGTGTTAAGACCCGCCGGACAGCTTTCAATCCCTAGGATTTATCATTAGGAACGACGTAGATCTCAACTCGTTGATCACGATGGTAACTCTTGGACTTACGAATCAAAGATTTGGAAGCTTTCTTTTAAAACCAACGCACGTTGAGGGGTGCCACCTATCAAAGGGCATTACTTTTTTTTTTTTGTTTTTTTTTGTTTAATTTAAATGCATTTGCTGATGTACATGGACAACATGAGTAAAACTACGTGCTGAAAACGCATTGTTATCACATAACACACACCTACGGTGTGTTTTAGTAAACGTTGTATATGTGCGTGTAATTTAGCACCCTTAGATTTACAGTGTACATCAAGTATGTACGTTATACGTAGGAAACTACAATCAAATCTCTGTATCCTATTTCTTTGCATCCCCCCCCCCCATAAGATATATGGCTCTATATAAATAGACTACAAAAATTGCCTCCACACACACCCCATATTCTTCTTTTTTTTTATGCTTTAGGGCAGAGTCAAGTTTCTTTACGAGTCTCGTATAAGTATGTAATTATTCTTTTTTCTTTTCTTTTTTTTTTATTTATAGTAGTTGGCTCGAAAATCAGTCTCCAATTTATTATAAATCGATCACAGCGGTGTGGGGTTTCGTATTTTTTTACCCATGATTCACGGCTCGAGTCACGATTGAAACAAGAGAATTTTAACAGGTTATTCATCCGAGTAACCCAGCATTTTCGAAAATTCAACAAATTAGTCCGGTGTCGCGATAATCCCCTAAAAGTTACAGTTTCCCCGGAAAAATCAACGTAACATAACAGGTCGACGCGTTTTAATAGCGCAATTATTCGGCGCAAATTGCGTACACGCGCTTCGGGAAAAGGAAGGGAGCGCGAATCAGAGGAATTACAAAGCCAACCGATCAAGCGACGAGCCGGCAACCGGCTAACGAGCCTCTTTAATTATAACGACCCGGGGCGAAGGGCTCCACACGCGCGGCGCGCGATAATCAAGCTCTCGGCCACCGTAACGTAAAAAAGGGGAAGGGGGGTGGGGAAAAAAAAAAAAACAACAACAACAGCGAGAAGAACCGCGAGAGGAGAAAATTAATCCTCGCATTAAGCTATACGAGGGGCATTGTAGGTACACATTATACGGAGACCTACAAACATATTTTTCGGCTCCTTTTATTTCACCCGCCGTACGTATGTATATAAAGGGACCGTCCCACCCCCTATCGTAATTTTAACACGGTTGGTGTACTACCGAACAAACGAGCCAGCGAGAGCACATACAACATCCCTATCTATCACTCCGTCTCGCTTACCGTGCGCCATACGTGTAGTATATAACGGTGCGGGTGGTGGTAAAGCTGCAAGCTCTCGGCGTGCATGTTATATATACAAGTAGGGAATGGAGCGGATGATACTAGCCGAGGTCAGCGTCGGCGGCTGTATCGACCTCGAGCGACGACGCCACGCAGGCTGGCACAAGTACCCGCGGTCCCCCATAACACCCACCGAGAGCGCGCGCGCGCGCATATACACGACACCCTCTCCTTTCCTGGACTACGTCTATACATGCACACCCTATCGTGTACACGCCCCCGCGTTCATCCTTGATATATCTCTGCTTTTTTTCGCGCTTCCTCTCTCGCAGTCCCTTTGAGGGAGAGTATAGGTATCTTCTTTTCCCCTTGGAGGCGAAATTAAATGTTTAACCGAAGCACCGGGCGTACAAGTGCGGAGCTCGAAAATTGCCAGGGTGGACTTTACAGCGGCCGGGCTGCCGCGCGTTGGCAATATTTGACTCTTGAGCCACCGTTTTACGGTCTCGAATGAAGGTGCTCGGGGCTATTCAATGGAGATACGAAATGAACGATGGGTGCTAGTCGACAAGTAATGGGAGAGGAAGAATAAATCGCTTAACGGTGGGTCGTTGGGTTCGCGGTGTTTCGGTTATTATATATAGGGAAAATCGAATAATGTCAATTTCATATACAAATATATATATGTATAGCTGAAAAGTGGAATAATGTCGCATCATTGGATAAGTTTTACAATGTTCGATCGCGCGACAATTAGTATGTACACATATTTATACATTGTTCATGAATATAATACAAGAGAGTGAGTGTGAAAAAGTTCAGCATATTATTATTTACATATATCTATTATACTGATGTGTGTCTCTTTCAAACGACAACGTCAACTCCGTGCGGCGGCACAGTAAAATAATGTTTTTTGTATCAAATGTTGCCGAAAGGAATTGGCTCGGTGTTGTTTGGCCGAGTATATCATTTATCCGATGCACAAAAGACATTGCCTGCCTCGTCGCCGTCGTTGTGCATCGTTGAGTCGATAAGTGTCAGTAAGTGATGTTTTGAATGTTGTTTTTTTTTTTTTTTTTTTTTTTTTTCTTATCATTAGCACATATGACGTATATTATTATAAATTTTGTATACAGAGATTACAGAATATAATACATAATATTATAATGCGTATCGGTTAAAGAGTATAGTTTGTAGTATTGTAGCATAATAATAATGATAATAATTACACAATGTACAATCGAATGTAATTCGGTCGATTGGAAAAAAGCATAATATAATTGTTATTTCGATTTGTCTGATTAATTGAAAAAATTATTTTTTATCACATGTTTGGAAATCATCACATACTGGACTTACCGATGATAACAGGTCGTCTCTCGGCTCCGAAGGGCCACAAGAAGTGCGACAACGCTCGCTAAGAATAGAGAGCGAGAGAGACGACGGTACAACGGAGCGTGTCTGGTTAAATTTCAGGTTTTTTTTTTTTTTTTTTTTTTTTTAAAAAGCGAACACGCTTACGAGAGGAAGAACCACAGCCACGAGTGCGGTCACCATAATAATTACAATCCATCTCTCTCGCTCTCCCTCCTCCGTTTCAGCTCCCTTTTCCACCATTTTCCATTTCCAATTTCCATTTCCTGTCCTTCAGCGCTTCATCGCTCTTTCTCTGAGAAGCCCCGTCTCTCCCTTTCTGATCACCTCATGTCAACAACTGAGATGGCTGCATCTGCACACAGACAAACATTCCAACATAACACCTTTTTGCCTTTCCTCCCGCTTTGGGCGTGAGTTTTTGTTATTATACTTCATTACAATCATTCTCTTTTTCTTCACAGTGACAAGAAAAACAGAAATCAAAAAGTACTCATACACTAACTTGTTAGTCAGCCTTAAAAGGTCCATTATTATTATTATTTTTTTTTTGTTTTTGTTTTTGTCTTGCTTTTACGTGGTTGATGATGTTGATGTTGTATACTGTTGTTGTTGTTGGTTGTCATGACGGTGTTGTTACTGTTGTTATTGTTGTTGTTGTTGTAGTGGTTAACATATATTTTTTGATACTGTAAGCAAGAGGAAAGATCGTCCCGATTTTTCCACTGAATCTCAATGTTTATTGCATATCATCTAATTTGGAATATTACACACGTACATATGTGGTACTAGGTTTTTTTTTATCATCACAAGTTTCTGGAAATGTGTGTACAGACTTACTTGCACGTACAAATACATTATTCGTATACGATACATAAAACAGTAATTTTGTCAAAATATATGAATATACATTTATATATATATATTTTTTTATTTTTGAAAGGGTCCAGTGGTCGACTGAATGTTTGTCTGTGAGAGTGCATTGGAAGCCTTTCTTGGAAAGAACAAGAGGAATCATGTAATGTATGTATATATACAAACGTACATACATACATATAAAATATACATAAAACGCTAGCATTAAACAGTTACCAACATTAGTGAAAAATTCATCAGAAATGGAATACGTGACCCAGAGACTCCAAAGACAGGAACATTAACTTTTCTTGCTACGTTCATAGTTGTTTATTTTAATTACTTAATTTTCGTAAACTAAAATGTATGAAAAATAAAGGCCATAATTTAAAACAATAATAAATACGTGTGGAAAAAAATTTGTATTCACGATCAAGTTACGTGTGATAAAAAAAAATTTGAAGAGGTTGTGACACTAGTGAATAATTACAGTGACAGAGCAGGTATTTTTCTTGACTAATTTGATGCATGTATAAAATGAGAATGAAATAAGTGAAAGATATTATTCTTTTTTAAACAACTACTTGTTTCGTCTATCGAAAAGATTTTTATCAAAAGAAAATAGAGGAACAGAAAAGATGAAAATCGGGAGAAAAGTGTAAAAGTGTATAAAAAGCAAAGAAAAAAGTGTTACGAGTTACAATTGTAATTTTCGTTTTTTTTTTTTTTTTTTTTTTTTCACGAAGTATCCATCATAAAGTTCCTTCGTCTTTCACAAAAAACGAGTGCTCGTTTGCCAACTTATACATTTTTTATTTTTTTTCATTACTTTCCTTTTTCTTTGCTTCCCCCTTTTTGTACTTTTTTCTCATTCTTTTTGACACATATACAAATGGAAAGAGCCCACTAGTTCATACGCCGCGAAAAATGCAAATTCTACTGGTCGTCTTTCATTTGCTTGTCCATTTAAACGTAAAAATATACTAGAAAAACTTTAAAAACCATTTTATGAGATAAAAATGTACTGTTATTAACACTACTTTTTTTTTAAATATACTTTATAGAGGAGAATAATGCAAAGGTGAAGTTTCAACATTCAACAGTCACGTAAAATCAGATAACGGTACAGAATATCGTAACTCAGCTTTGGGCATATTACAAAAAAGCGAAAAATTAATCATTATAAATCAGTATGAAATGGTGACAAATAAAGAAAACACAAAAATCACTTGAAATGGATTCTACATAAATTTCAAAAAAGAAATAATGTACTCTTTGAAATGTAAAAATATTATTATGCTAAAAAAAGAGAAATTTTAGTTGATGTTTTTTGTTTTGTATGAACAACAAAAGGCAAATATTTTAATAAACACGTTTGAATATTGTATAAGTGAAAAAGTTATGTACAAAAATGCAGTTGCCTAAATATGTATGAATTAGTTTTCCGAATGACGTAATACCAGGCTCCTCTTGTAGAAAACTACACAAACAAATCAAAAGTATAAGACGGAAGAAGGTGTACGGTGTGCTGTAAAAATACATAGAAAGAATATTTTACACACGCGCGTATATAATATGACATACACAAGCACATAGAAATGACGTGATATGAGTATACAACAAAGCCTTTGTAAGCTCGAATTTACCACATTTTACACACATCTATATCCGTAAATAAGCAAGGAAAAAATACCAATCCCTCTTACCCCCAAATATAGATATATCGAGTCGTAAATTACCTTTGCACTCTGAGCTCATGAGCCGAGCTTACTCAGGCTTTGGTCTTTTTGTATCAAAATATGTATATACGCAGTAATTATGTGGTCGTTAACATTAATTTGCAATGACGTGGTGGAGGACGTGTTTGCCGTGTCGCTGTTTTCTTTCTAATCGTGTATTTCCTGCGGGTAATACCATTCCCATGTGTAAGCACACACGAAGACAGATATGTGTCATTGTTTACCGCTTGTCGTGCATTTGCTTACGATTGCGTTCGATATCCACGTAACAATATACATACACCGGCTCGTAGCCACATCTTCCGTATTGATTTTTCACCCTCACCAACGAATGGCTCGCGATACAATCGGATTTATGGCCAAAGGAATTTAATGAATTTTCGAAAACGGAAAAAAAAAATGTTTTTCCCCCTACGGTTGAACGTATACACATGTTTTGTGAATCAATCCAAACGATGAGCGTGTAAGAGCCATAAATCCCGGGGGTACCAATAAATCGAGAAAAAAAAAAAATGAAAACACATTGTGTGACGTACCGTCCCTCGCAGTGGGGCACCATTTGTCCGCGAGTGGAAAAACCTCTGGATTATTTTTGTACTTTGTACGGGTAGTGGTGGTGGTGGTGTGACACTTTTAGTTTGAAATTCGTCAGATTCGCGTCGCGCAAGACACGAGACAGTGATTAAAGACCGCGAAGGAAATCAAGCGCGCGATCATTCTCGACTCGCGATGATTCGGAACTTTTGGGCCCCGAGTCCGCATTCTTCCGGCGGGCACTCGTCTCATTTAGAAATAGCTTGGAGCACACGATTGTGCGCTTCCACCTGACTTCCCTCCCACCCCTCTATTTTCACTATTTCTCCCACCCTCTATTTTTACATCCCGAAAATTTTAAAAATAACGCGATACGGCTGATATTGCGGGCAGCTTTTTTTTTAAAATAAATACAATAGGTGTTCTTCTTTCGTTTGGGATCAACGGCTTCCCGAGAGATTTGCATGCATGAGCATATTACACCCGTACATCTGTGCAAGGTGGAGCGAAAGAAGAAACAAACAATAATTTCTACCCCGTTCGCGAGATGTCAAAACATTGCCTTTTTTTTTTTTTTGTTTTACTCGGATTCTCGATGGATGTCGTGTTATATATATTTATGTTTGGACATTTACACGTGTTTTTATTTTTTCGTATAAATCGTATGATATGTATATTTGCATGCGGTACAGAGAGTTGGGCTGGTAGAAAAAAAATTGCATAGAGGTACATTAATTTGTTGCTCGAGGCCCACATTACATTACAATGAGTTGAGTGTTATATCTTTTGTTTTCTTCGAAAGTCTATATTGTATATTCGATGGTTAAGTGGTGCATGTAAAATTTTGTTGGATTGAATTGGTTATCCTTTTATCTTTTTCCCTCGCAAAAGTTCAATGGTACTTAGTTGAGAATGTTGTTTGGCACTTTCAAGTAAATAATAAATAAACGTAGAAAAAAAAAAGCCAAAGCAATCCAGCGACCATTAAACTTTGATTCCTTAAAACTATGTTTGACGAGGAATTCCAAACTTACCGATCGCAGGCGTGGTGTAGTCCCAGCTCTCCGAATCATTTTTGTAAACGTTCAATTTCGTCGGCTGCAACACAAAACACGTCATCGATCAATTAAACGATTGACTGCATCAAAAGTATTCGATACACTTTCAGTCAAAATCCAACCAAGAAAAATAGAAGAAGAAGACGTTAAATTTGTGCAGAATGACAGAGAGGAAAAGGGAAGAGGCGCAGGTGAAAAGAAGTAGCTGAGATTTAAAGGCGTCGCTGCATAAATAGATCAGAGAGAAGACCCATAAGGGTAATCTTCTCTCGAGCCCCCCCCCCCCCCCCCGGGTGTGTGTCGGACAAACGTCAGGCTGTAAACGATATTTTAGTTTCCCGAGTGCGCCGTGTGTACACACAAGCTCATGTTCATTAACGTCAAAAGGAGCTCTGTATCTCTGGCACTGCAGAAATTTTACCTCCTACGGTGATTTTTTTTTTTTTTTTTTTTTTAATAAATTTATTCGAATAAGATATACTCCAGAATTCAAAGTACCCAACACGTGCGTTTGGAAGACCCCGTAGAAGAAAACCAATTGTAACAGAGCCAATTTGACGGATCGATATCGCAAACGGAAGGGGGGGGAAAGAGTATCAGGCAGTATCGGCGCGGACAAGAAGAGCCAATGTTTTGATTCTTGGGGTCTCTCTTTCTCTGCCTGCACTTGGCGAGCCTCATCGAAATAGCCGAGCCGAGGGGGATCGTACCGTTGTCGCCGTTGCACCTGTCGGCTCGCTCGCGTGCGTAGATACACTCTGCGCTTCAGGAATTTACAACGACGGCTCTCCTCCATCGTGAATTTTGTAATTAAGTTCTCTTGAACGAATCGAGTTCACGCGCGGCCTTTGGCGAATTATTTCGATCCTATATATACGTCTGGCAGGAAAGCTCCATTGTTATATTTTTTTTTTTTTTCCAACTCCGCAAATCAAGTATAGCGAGTACATACATGTATTTTTAGGCAAAAAAACTCGTTTTTCTTTTTTTATCTCCAAGCACTTACTTTGACGAGGAGGAGATTCTCAGAAACGGCCAACAATTAAACAACGAGGGACCAGCACTTGCCGCGTTTGGTCCTCCGTATGTATACTTATAACGAGCGAAGACAAAATGCAGAAGCTAATAGCCGAGACGAGTATAAAATAGTCCAGAAGAAGCCACCAGCGCCCTGCCCCCCCTCCTCTCAATCTCCGAAGCTCCGAAAAGCCGTTTACGCCTCATAAACGTCGGTTCTTCTTTCTCTCTCTTATGTACTTGCACATTATACACACACATACGTGGCAGAGAGACGTGGATTTATGTCCGCGTGCTTCGCAAAACCGTAAATATAACGATCGAAAGGCAGAGCACTGCAGTCACACGCTCTCGATCTTTCGCGACGATTCTTCATTCGGATGCAGGCGAGGTAGGAGGAATAGAAGAATTCCAAGCCTTTCCTTACCCCCAAATGCGATAACGACAGTCCGGCTCTTTCTTCCTCTATACGTGGGTATGTGGGTCCTCGCATTTCCAATTAACCTGATTAGGGCGTGCCTATAAATTTCCCCGATTTATTTTGGATCCACAGAAATCGACCGACGGACGGGACGGCGTATTACGCGCCTTTGTGAGCGAGAGCAGCCGATGCGTGCGCTACGACGGCCCTTTTTTTTTTTGCGCGACGCGAGCCAACCTCTCTCTCTCTCTCTTACGTAACGACTCTCTTTCTCCAACAGGCGGCCATTGTCTATACGTAAGCGCGTGCATTGCGACATGTTCCGATGATACGATGCGACGACGATGGCTTTCACGCCTCGTGTACCTCCCCGATCGGAAAAAGATTCCGTAAGCCGGAAGGTAGTATACGGCCCGTTTATGTTTACCGGAAAGAATCTTCACGGGCCGTATGAGTCGTGTTACCAGGTACCTTTCCGGTCAGTATATGTGCGAAACTTATAGTCTAACGACTGTATTCGCTCCGAGCCGATGCGGAGGTTGCGCCCCCTCTAGCCAAAATCAGGCAACATTTCTTGCATGTAAACAAACGGTTTAGAACATATATATACATACGTACAGCTGCTTGTGATTGGCACTTGGCAAGCTAGAGAGAGAACGACGATCCTCTCCTGCTGTCTTATTCAGCCAATCACAAGCAGCTATACGCATGTATATATGTTCTAAACCGTTTGTTTACATGCAAGAAATGTTGCCTGATTTTGGCTAGAGGGGGCGCAACCTCTGTATCGGCTCGGAGCGAATA